TATATTTTTTTTGCCATTCAGCAAATGTGAGTGAAGCTTACTGTGGGATCTGAATAAAGCTTAAACGCAAGAAGAAAGAGTTTGTCTGAATTTTGTTCTCGCTGCAGCAATCACCCGTGTGGCTAAAATGTATGGTTGCCAATGGTAACCACTCGTAAACAGACAACAAAGAATTAACAATCTCCGACAGAAACGAGCTATAATGTGGAGCTGAAATCAGAATAATCGTCTGTGAAAGAAACGTCTGTGTTTGAGTACTTTTAATTATTTACAGCTAGTAAGAGTCGCACAATGTAATACCGGTGTAAAGAATTGTACTGTATTAAAATACTTATTATGCATACCGGTTTACCGTCACTAAATCTATCAAAACCTCTCAAAAAATTAATATAACTATAGTATTATACTTCTTTCTTCTTTTGTCAAAATCTGCTTGTGCCGTTAGGCGTCGCAGTCTATCAGATGATCGGCAACCGAGCCAGGGCGCGCTCAGTCGCTTCATATGCCGTGATGTTATGAAGTCTCAAGTTGTCCGTGACTCCTTCAATCCATCTTCTTCTTGGTCTTCCCCTGCCTCTTGGTGTTTCGATTTTCATGTTGTATGCTCTTGATGCTGTCATCGTTGGTTCCATTCTCATTAGGTGACCAAACCATTTAATTCTTTGCTTCTCAATAAATTTAACGATGGGTATGGTTCCAATAGTTCTTGTAATCACATCGTTTCTCACTCGATCTCTTCTGGTTTTATTCGCAGCCATTCTCAAACATCTCATTTCACAGGTGGTTAGTCTTCTTTCGTGTTCTTTTGTTAATGTCCAAGTCTGACATTGATAACCTAATGTCGGTATAAAGATTGTATTTATAATTTGTCTTTTTATCTCAGCTGGGACAGCAGGGTGTTTTAAAATTGGGGCAAGCTGGTATGCGATATTGTTGGCTTGTTGGATTCTTGCTTCGATCTCTCTGTCTGTTTTACCATTGGATGTAAAGATACTTCCCAAGTATTTAAATTCTTGCACTTGTTTTAGGCTGTGATCTAGAATCTTTATGTCGATGGTCTGTTGCTCTCTACTTATGCTCATGACTTCTGTCTTTTCAGTATTGATCTTCATAATAACTATTACAATGTCTGTTTAATTTTAATCATTCCAGTTTTAATGGATCAGCCAGCCTCACTTCAAGCTGTTTGAGTGTTTCACTCTCCAAGCACTTATAATTAATATTACTTACCCACCTCTGTTAATAGTAATACTAATAATAGTTGTAGTGAAGTTGTAGTAAAAGTACTGTATTATTAATAAATAATATGATAGTTCAAACTTTAATTTAAACATATCATAATTGTCACCGTCATAGGATTGCTTAATTCTTAAATTAAGTTTTAGTTTAGCAATTCTTGCACTTATAAGCTATATATATATATATATGTATGTATATATATATATATATATATATATATATATATATATATATATATATATATATATATATATATATATATATATAAATAATATATATATAGTAAAGTAAAGAACTTTTGGCTCTCCTCCAAACTTCTACCCAATATCATGGCGGCCAAGAAAAAAGCTTAACGGGGCCTCAGTCATGTGTAAAATGCGGACTTTCTGCCAAGGAACAAATCGCGGCAAAACTAAGATTACTTGACAATTTCAAGAGAAACACTGCAACACTGCAGACGATAGTACCAGACGATAATAGCGACGGTTGACAATTTCAAGCGTTTCTGCAGACGATACTAGCAGATGATAATAGAGACTATAAACAATTTCGAGACACGCAACATTACAGACGATAATAGCCACATGGCGGGGAGACCACGCGCGTCGTTGTTGTCCTTAGACTTTTTGGCATGCGCAAAACGCGGTTAAACTCACCGCCAACAGTATTCCGTGTCGCTACGCAAGGCGCGGATGGGGATCCAAACTAGATGCCTGGGACTCACAAGCTAATAAATAAGATGAAGTTGCAGGAGATGCGGTAGCTGCCGCTCGTGAGTCCCAGCCATCTAGTTTAGCTCCCATTCTCGCCGCACGTAGCGCTGTGGGGGATACTGTCGGCGTTGCGGCATAGTCGCAGAAACAGGTCCCCAATAAACATATCGATGAGACCCTGTTAAAGCATTTGTTTCGTTATTGTGAGCCGATCCTAGTTTTGCCATGATTTGTTCCTTGGCAGAAAGTCCACATTTTACACATGACTGAGGCCCTGTTAGGCTATTTGCTTCGCCGCCATAATATTGGGTAGAAGTTCCTAGGAGAGCCGAACTTTTTTCCACGCCTTTCAGGCGTATTGGATGTATAGGACTATACCTTTTTATAGACCAATCGACACAAGATGGGTGATGTATGTGGTCAGCATCACATCGACCATCTTTAATTCCCGGGACTACACCTGGAACCCGCTCAAGTCAGTTAAGGTCATTTTTGAAAAAAGTACGGCTCAGTCAGAGAGCGAACCTACGACCTTCCGATCCGCGCACAAGCATCTAACTGCTACACCATGGCGACTTCACTATAACATTTTATTTAAACATTTTAAAAATTGTATTTAAAATGTATTATATTATATTAATGTATTATAATGTAATATGTATTATAATTTAAAATTTAAAATGTATTTAAAAAATAAAGTAATATCTATGTTTGTATTTGTTTCTTTCCTAGCTTAGAAGGTCAGCAAAATATTTATATTTTTCTTACCTGCAGGTGCAAAAATGTTCTCTAAAGTAGAAAGACTTTGTGATTTGTAACAACTTTCTGGAGCTGATGGAGCAAAATCCAAATAACTATTAAAAATTCTACAAAGTTAGTTAGCTGATGACCTATGCTCTTTTGAGATATAAAAGGAAGAAAGAGTTAATTTTTTGTATGGCTGTGTGATGAAGTATCTCCACCATTGCTGGTCCCAAGCCTAGATAAGAAAGGAAGAGGGTCTGGTGTGGGGCCAGCTCCCTCAAACTGTAAACAATTTTTTGCTACAGAAACTTGCAGGAAAGGATGCAATTCCAGTTAACAAATGAGTCAAGTGGTGTGGGGTGCAGAATGTCTGGTATGCTACTAGTGTTAACAGTTAAAAGACATGCCGAGCATGTTTTAGACTTGTGTGGCAAGGGACAACCAGCTACACACTAATAAGTCAGGTAAAACAGATGTACACGCAAAACTTAGGCCCTGGCACAAAGCCAAAGTCAAAATGGATGAACAACCAGGAATTTCGGCCTGAGCTAACAGCCTGTGAACAAAGAAGAAGAAGAGGAGGAGAATACAATCCTTCCCGTACGGGTTCTGGGTTCCCATGGGGTGGGGGGGGGAGGAGAAATAATAGACCCACTGTTTCTCTATGAAACTTATTGTAAAAAAAACTACTAATTAAAGGAGTTTCCTTTGAAAGAGGGCATCTGCCTGAAAGGTGATGAACCACGAGTCTGATATAAATAAGACAGATCTGTAAAATGAATCTGCATGCAAAACTAGAGTTCTGGAGCAGGACCAAAGTTCAGAAGTGGATGAACCACCAGAACTTTCTGCTGGAGTTGAGAGCTGGGAAATGATTAGATGAAGAATGCAATCTTTTGCAATTATAATATTAATAAATTATTATAAGTTTTTCTGTGTGACTATTAAAATGTAGTCCATTGGTTCCCAAACCATGGGTTGTAACCCCAAATGTGGAGGGAAGGAATTATCTGTGGGGTCTTGGGGCAGTCAGTAGTGAGCTATCGACATTTTAAAAAGAGAAAACAGTTCCGTCATTGTGTCCTGCGCAGAGATGAATCAGAGTATTTTTGATATGTTTTGACCCTGCAAAGATAGATTGCTGAGTTGAGGGAGAAGATCAATGCTCTCAGAGTGGCCAAAGCAGATGAAGACTTGCAAAGACATGCTGACAGGGAGGAGAGAGGCACCCTGAGAGAGATAAGAGAATCTCAAGAGAACTTCTCTGATGAAAGTGCCGAACTTGAACATATCAAAACAGAAGTTGGATAACAATTCAGAAAATTACAGAAGCTTCTAAAAGATGATATAAACAAACACACAAGGCTGCCAGTGGAATCCATCAAATCCATTTGAGCGAAAGCAGAACTGTCAACAGAAAAACCTTAAAAGAAGCAGACAATTTAGTGCATGTGCAACAAAAGTATCCAGTTTGATGACGACCCACAAGAGCTAAACACAACAAATGTTGCACACAGCAGACCTAATGAAAGAAAGATTGCAGAAAGAAATGAGGTGGACGACAAGTAGCAGCGAAGACAACAGTTATAGAGCTAACAGAGTTCATGACCTCAAAGAAAAACCAGCAAACAAATTAATAAATGCAGACGACACTAAAGAAAGAAGGAAGGCAAATGGCCAGCACACAATTAATCAGTCCTTTCCAGGACTACTCAGTTTAGATCAAGTCTGGAAAAGAAATGGCAGGCATACAATCAGTGTAAAATGAAGCCCTCTCAGAAGTCCACAACAGACACCACCAGACGGCAGCAAAGACCTAAGCCAGTAATCATTGCACAAGAAACGAGTCATTGCCACTAGACTTGGCACAAAAACAATAGTCCACAAATATACCTGAAAGCTGCTTTGGAGCTGGCTTAGGCTAAAAGTCCCACTGGAGCTGGTTGAATGTGGATACTTGGAAAAAAAAAATTGTTTAAATCAAACTTGAACTGGTACTTATGTGTTTTCATCTACTCTGTTAAAAAGACTGTATTTAATGGTTTTGGTCGCAGATCACTTTGCCTTTGTACAATGAGGTCATGGGCTGCACAAGTCTGGGAAGCGCTGATGAAAAAATGGTGGGGCGGGTATTTTCACTAATTGAGAACTACTGCTCTAAATGTATCATTCATTGTGGTGAGAAACTCTTATTTGTTTAGCATTATTATTTACCTTTTCATTAATTTTTTTTCTCCAGAATTTCAGAGCATATGATTCTACAGTCCGAAGATAAACAACCTTACCACTTTAGTGCTTGCCGAGATGGATTTTAGCTCCCAGGCTTTCGATGAACACTTGCAAGGCCATCCAAGAGTTCATGAAAATGGACGTGAAAATTATGAGCGCAATATCAAGTCCTCCAACTGGTATTCTCATAGCAGCAGACCATCTGAGTTTAAATCTGATGCTCCAAGAGTTCATGAGGATGGGCGAGAGAATTATGAGCGCACTGTCAAACCCTCCAACTGGTTTACTCATGACACCACACTTCCGACGTTTAAACCTGAAGCTGCAAGAGTTCATGAAGATGGACGAGAGAATTATGAGCGCAGTATCAAACCTTCAGGCTGGTATACTGATAACAGCCTATCAAATGAGTATAAACCCGATGTACGCCTCCGTTCTGACACTGCCAGAGATATTGCTGTAAAGAACCGCGGCTGTATGCAAGATAATCTTCAAGGGTATGCAGACCCACCAGTTGTCAAAAGCATACATCCTCGAGGCATTAAACCAGAAGCACGTAGAATTGCTGAAGTGAATAAAGGCCTAGAGTTGAAATGTCTCCTGGATAACTATGGTAAATTAGCGAATGAGCCAAGACCTGGCCCCAAGGTATGTGTCTTTATTTTTATAGAGAGGGAACAGAATGTAATACAAATTTTAATGGGGACAATATTAGATTTCATCAGGGATATTGATACATGGGAGTTCAGATAGCTTGAGGCCTCCCTACCAGTAATTTTAGGGGTAGGTGACCCCCTCCCTCCGCACACACACACACACACCCCTCTCACTGTAGACAACTTACATGGGGAGTAAATCGCCATGTATAAATGGTCTCTTTTTTTTAAAAAGTACTTTTTGAGAAGCCAATCTCCGTAAAGGTGGATATTAGACATTGAAGATGCATTGCTTTTGAAAGCACACATGGCTTGAGAAGCAGAAACTTGCAAGCGTGCCATGAACAGAGCGACATTCTGTAAAGGTCATGTTGACTGATTTATTGATTTTACCTAGGCCTATTGTATACACATTTTATATTATTTTAAATATATTTATTAGCCATTTAAGAGAGATCCCTTTTTATGCCTTAGGCCCATCGGGCGTATAGGAGAGCACCCATATTTTTAAAAACCAATCGGCACTAGCATTATGCCGGCCGTCATTACTTCCCCAGGACTTATATCCTGGTACCCATTTTAGGCTATTAGCCATTTAGCATACAATAAAAATAATAATAATTATTATTATTATTGGCTGGGTTAGATGAAGAACAGATAAATATGGCAGAAAATATTTAGTCTAAGATTATCAGCAGAATGTGTTAGTCAACTGAGCACCATCAAACTCAGCCGCTACCTGCTACTAATGCCATACATGACCTTGGTATGAACTTCGACAGATGCTTGTGGTACAAGAATCACGCTGACAGTGTCACACTCAGAGCTTTCTCATACCAATGTTTTCTTTTTGTCAGCACACTTTGCTGTCTTTGTAGTAAACAGAATAGAGGGGGTGGGTGGGGGTGGATGAATGAAGGACTATAAAAGTGGAGAGTGAAGTGCGTTGTTAGATAGGGGGTTGAATGTTTTTATCAGTGGGTGGTGTGATAAGCTGAATGTAGAGGAGTGAATGTGATGTGAATAGTTGGATGATTAAATGATTATTTAAGTGCCTGTCTGGATGAATTGTATGTTTGAATAAGTTGATGGAAAGATGAGTGAATGAGTGGATATTTTAAAGAGTTCAAGAATAGATAAGGGAATTTCTATATAGACAGATGATTGTATGTGTGGATAAATGGAGGGGTCAATGATTGTATGAGTGTATTTTTGAATGTATTATTGTAAATTATAAAAAAAAAATGATGAACTGATGAGTGAATTGTTATATGAGTGGATGTTCGAATGTGTTAATGGATAGATAAGTGAGTGACTGTATAAATGGATGGTTAGGTGGTTGTATAATTTATACGTAAAAAGGGTGGTTTATTAAAATATGTCAGTGGGCTGTAAATTGGAGAATGAACGTGCCAAAAGGAACTGCTTTACTGATTGAGGCCACCATGTATGGGGGATTTAGTCAGAAACTAAATTAGATATAAGCCGAGCAGATTCTTTCGGTGTCTTCATGTTAAACAGATCCCAGAGCTTGTCTTGTATGATTAGTCTCTCATGGAGGAGCTGTTAATCAACATGGCCATAACCTGTAGACTTGAGAACTAAACTTTGATTAAACCCAAAAGACCTCAAGCTGACATCCCAGGTTATGTTCCATAGATTGTGCATGCCCAGAAATCACTGAAGAAGAAAAAGTCAGAAACTCAGAAATGATGAACTTCCTCAGGTGTTTTAATGTTGTTGTTTTTTAATCACTACATTTTCCATCAGGTATATGGCTCAGAAGCAGAGGAATACAAAGAAAGAGAGCATGGTTCAACCAAATTCTTGTTAAATCATTTTAGCACGGACCCCATTCCTGTATCAGAGATGCCTCCTCCACACAGGCTTAGGTTAGGAGGAGAAGAGGTAAGAACGGACTTAATTTAGAGGCAGAAGAAGTAAGAATGGGATTGTGATAAAGACAGAATAGGTAAAGTTTGGGTTGGCTTACACTAAGAGATAAGAACAGGGCTGGGTTAGAGAAAGAAGAGGTCAGAATGATCACAATCGACTTTGCAGCCACATGTACACAAAATTTAAAATCAGCAAATCAGCCATGTGCACATGTGGACTGGCACCAGACACAACAGATGTCCTCCAAGACTGTCCCAAATACAACATATCAAGGCAAAACTTTTGGCCAAGATAAACATCAGTGCAAGTCAAACTTTACGGTTGCTGGGTGAATTACAAAAGACAGTAAAGTTCATCCTAGAGACAACATTGTAGATACAGATAATCTGTTTAAAGTGAATGAAAGAAGATGAAGAAGAATGAGTTTGGATTGGATTAAGAAGTAATAATGGGGTTGGGCTAGAGATGGTCTAGGGTAAAAATGGGTTGGATTAGATTAAGAAGTAAGAATGGGGATGGAATAAAGATAGAAAGGGTAAAAATGAGGTTCAGTCATATTAAAAGGGGTAATAATGAGGTTGGTTTAGAGACAGAAGATGTAAGAATAGTGTTGAGTTACATTAAGAGGTAATCATGGGGTTGGGTTAGATTAAGAAGTAATGAAGGCGTTGGGATAGACACATAAGAGGTAAGAAAGGGGTTGGATTTCATTAGGAGGTAATAATGGAATTGGGTTAGAGACAAATTGGACACGCAGGCCCGTCTTACATTCGGCCCTTCCAAACACCCGTCTTTCACACTGCAGCTGTATTTTATCAATAAGCATGTAATATTTATATGATAATATGCATATCAAAAAAGAGAAGAAATAAAAGCACAATAGCATGGGTGGTAAAATGCATGCATATGCACACACACACACACATGCACCCATACACTCACTTAAACACACCCTTCACACACACATAAACACACCCCATTCACCCACAAACAAGCTACATACCCACACAGACAAGCACTCACATAAACACACCGACATGATGAAGTTAGGCTAGAAACAGAGGAGGTGAGAATGCTTTCAGGTTAGAGACAGAAGTGGTAAAGATGAACTTAGGCTAGAAACAGAGGAGGTGAGAATGCTTTCAGGTTAGAGACAGAAGTGGTAAAGATGAACTTAGGCTAGAAACAGAGGAGGTGAGAATGCTTTCAGGTTAGAGACAGAAGTGGTAAAGATGAACTTAGGCTAGAAACAGAGGAGGTGAGAATGCTTAGGCTAGAAACAGGTTAGAGACAGAAGTGGTAAAGATGAACTTAGGCTAGAAACAGAGGAGGTGAGAATGCTTTCAGGTTAGAGACAGAAGTGGTAAAGATGAACTTAGGCTAGAGGCTAGAAACAGAGAAGGTGAGAATGCTTTCAGGTTAGAGACAGAAGTGAGAAACTGCTAGGCTAACAGAGGAGGTTGCTTTCAGGTTAGAGACAGAAGTGGTAAATGATGAAAACTTAGGCTGGTAAACAGAGGGCTAGAAACAGAGAGTGAGAATGCTTTCAGGTTAGAGAAGAAGTGCTGAACTTAGGCTAGAGAGGAGAAATGTGGTAAAGATGGTAAATATGAACTTAGGCTAGAAACAGAGGAGGTGAGAATGCTTTCAGGTTAGAGACAGAAGTGGTAAAGATGAACTTAGGCTAGAAACAGAGGAGGTGAGAATGCTTTCAGGTTAGAGACAGAAGTGGTAAAGATGAACTTAGGCTAGAAACAGAGGAGGTGAGAATGCTTTCAGGTTAGAGACAGAAGTGGTAAAGATGAACTTAGGCTAGAAACAGAGGAGGTGAGAATGCTTTCAGGTTAGAGACAGAAGTGGTAAAGATGAACTTAGGCTAGAAACAGAGGAGGTGAGAATGCTTTTCAGGTTAGAGACAGAAGTGGTAAAGATGAACTTAGGCTAGAAACAGAGGAGGTGAGAATGCTTTCAGGTTAGAGACAGAAGTGGTAAAGATGAACTTAGGCTAGAAACAGAGGAGGTGAGAATGCTTTCAGGTTAGAGACAGAAGTGGTAAAGATGAACTTAGGCTAGAAACAGAGGAGGTGAGAATGCTTTCAGGTTAGAGACAGAAGTGGTAAAGATGATGAACTTAGGCTAGAAACAGAGGAGGTGAGAATGCTTTCAGGCTTAGAGACAGAAGTGGTAAAGATGAACTTAGGCTAGAAACAGAGGAGGTGAGAATGCTTTCAGGTTAGAGACAGAAGTGGTAAAGATGAACTTAGGCTAGAAACAGAGGAGGTGAGAATGCTTTCAGGTTAGAGACAGAAGTGGTAAAGATGAACTTAGGCTAGAAACAGAGGAGGTGAGAATGCTTTCAGGCTAGAGACAGAAGTGGTAAAGATGAACTTAGGCTAGAAAGTGGTAAAGATGAACTTAGGCTAGAGAGGAGGTGAGGTGAGAATGCTTTCAGGTTAGAGACAGAAGTGGTAAAGATGAACTTAGGCTAGAAACAGAGAAGGCTGAGACAGAAGTGCTTTCAAACAGGGAGGTGAGAATGCTAGAGAGACAGAAGTGGTAAATGATGAACTTAGGCTAGAAACAGAGGAGGTGAGAATGCTTTCAGGTTAGAGACAGAAGTGGTAAAGATGAACTTAGGCTAGAAACAGAGGAGGTGAGAATGCTTTCAGGTTAGAGACAGAAGTGGTAAAGATGAACTTAGGCTAGAAACAGAGGAGGTGAGAATGCTTTCAGGTTAGAGACAGAAGTGGTAAAGATGAACTTAGGCTAGAAACAGAGGAGGTGAGAATGCTTTCAGGTTAGAGACAGAAGTGGTAAAGATGAACTTAGGCTAGAAACAGAGAGGAGAATGAGAAGACAGAAGTGGTAAGGTTTAGAGACAGAAGACAGAAGTGGTAAAGATGAACTAGTAGAAACAGAGGAGGTGAGAATGCTTTCAGGTTAGAGACAGAAGTGGTAAAGATGAACTTAGGCTAGAAACAGAGAGAGGAGGTGAGAATGCTTTCAGGTTAGAGACAGAAGTGGTAAAGATGAACTTAGGCTAGAAACAGAGGAGGTGAGAATGCTTTCAGGTTAGAGACAGAAGTGGTAAAGATGAACTTAGGCTAGAAACAGAGGAGGTGAGAATGCTTTCAGGTTAGAGAAGTGGTAAGAGACAGAAGTGGTAAGAGACAGAAGTGGTAAAGATGAACTTAGGCTAGAAACAGAGGAGGTGAGAATGCTTTCAGGTTAGAGACAGAAGTGGTAAAGATGAACTTAGGCTAGAGGCTAGAAACAGAGGAGGTGAGAATGCTTTCAGGTTAGAGACAGAAGTGGTAAAGATGAACTTAGGCTAGAAACAGAGAAGGTGAGAATGCTTTCAGGTTAGAGACAGAAGTGGTAAAGATGAACTTAGGCTAGAAACAGAGGAGGTGAGAATGCTTTCAGGTTAGAGACAGAAGTGGTAAAGATGAACTTAGGCTAGAAACAGAGAAGGTGAGAATGCTCTCAGGCTAAAGACAGAAGTGGTAAAGATGAACTTAGGCTAGAAACAGAGGAGGTGAGAATGCTTTCAGGTTAGAGACAGAAGTGGTAAAGATGAACTTAGGCTAGAGGCTAGAAACAGAGGAGGTGAGAATGCTTTCAGGTTAGAGACAGAAGTGGTAAAGATGAACTTAGGCTAGAGGCTAGAAACTAGAAACTTTCAGGTTAGAGACAGAAGTGGTAAAGATGAACTTAGGCTAGAAACAGAGGAGCTTTCATGCTTAGAGAGACAGAAGTGGTAAAGATGAACTTAGGCTAGAAACAGAGAAGGTGAGAATGCTTTCAGGCTAGAGACAGAAGTGGTAAAGATGAACTTAGGCTAGAAACAGAGGAGGTGAGAATGCTCTCAGGTTAGAGACAGAAGTGGTAAAGATGAACTTAGGCTAGAAACAGAAGGTGAGAATGCTTTTCAGAGAGAGGTGAGAATGCTTTCAGGTTAGAGACAGAAGTGGTAAAGATGAACTTAGGCTAGAAACAGAGAGAGGTGAGAATGCTTTCAGGTTAGAGACAGAAGTGGTAAAGATGAATCTTAGGCCTAGAAACAGAGGAGGTAGGCTAGAAGACAAAGAGAAGCTAGTGAGAGGTGAGAATGCTTTCAGGTTAGAGACAGAAGTGGTAAAGATGAACTTAGGCTAGAAACAGAGAAGGTGAGAATGCTTTCAGGTTAGAGACAGAAGTGGTAAAGATGAACTTAGGCTAGAAACAGAGGAGGTGAGAATGCTTTCAGGTTAGAGACAGAAGTGGTAAAGATGAACTTAGGCTAGAAACAGAGAAGGTGAGAATGCTCTCAGGCTAAAGACAGAAGTGGTAAAGATGAACTTAGGCTAGAAACAGAGGAGGTGAGAATGCTTTCAGGTTAGAGACAGAAGTGGTAAAGATGAACTTAGGCTAGAAACAGAGGAGTAGAATGCTTTCAGGCTTAGACAGAAGTGGTAAAGATGAACTTAGGCTAGAAACAGAGGAGGTGAGAATGCTTTCAGGCTAGAGACAGAAGTGGTAAAGATGAACTTAGGCTAGAAACAGAGAAGGTGAGAATGCTTTCAGGTTAGAGACAGAAGTGGTAAAGATGAACTTAGGCTAGAAACAGAGAAGGTGAGAATGCTCTCAGGCTAGAGACAGAAGTGGTAAAGATGAACTTAGGCTAGAGGCTAGAAACAGAGGAGGTGAGAATGCTTTCAGGTTAGAGACAGAAGTGGTAAAGATGAACTTAGGCTAGAGACAGAAGTGGTAAAGATGAACAGAGGCTAGGTGAGAGAATGCTTTCAGGTTAGAGACAGAAGTGGTAAAGATGAACTTAGGCTAGAAACAGAGGAGGTGAGAATGCTCTCAGGTTAGAGACAGAAGTGGTAAAGATGAACTTAGGCTAGAAACAGAGAAGGTGAGAATGCTTTCAGGTTAAAGACAGAAGTGGTAAAGATGAACTTAGGCTAGAAACAGAGGAGGTGAGAATGCTCTCAGGCTAAAGACAGAAGTGGTAAAGATGAACTTAG